ATTAGGTGCTGATTTTGGTAAGCTTCTTAGACCCAACCCATGAGGCTTTTCTGGATTTGTGTGCCTGTAATTTCAATAAAGGAGCTTCTTCCATATGTGCACCTTCTCAGTATCTCAGTTTGCCTTTATCTCTTTGATTCATCCTTAAAAACAACCATAAAGGCATGTTTCACTTTTCATCCTGTATTTCTCAGAAGTGCCTCCCAAGGACAGAGGTGCACCAGCTCCCTTCCCAGGGACCTGCAGGTCAGAGCATGACTGCACCAATGGAGTTTGCACGCCCACGTGCATTGACTTGGTGATATATCCAATATTCTTTCTAGGGCACCCCCTGGGCCCTGCCCTTTGAACATCCAAGCAGCAGCACAGAGCTCTTGACAGTCAGCATGCTATTTTCTACTTTATATTCCTCAGAAAGTTCAGCCAAGACCTTATCTGCATCCCTACAAGCGCACAGCAGACCAAACTCCTTTCTGAGCTCAAATCTCCATTCACCTTCTCCTTCTGCCAGCACCACACGCACATTTTGTCCTCGCCCAGTGTCGCACGTGTGAGCTGCAGGCAGGAGCAGGAGAAACTGAGCAGGCACAAGAAGAGGGCAGCGTAGGGTGAGGCAGGAAGGATGCCAAGAGAGCCACCACACAGCAATGGATGTGGTCCAGCAGCTCCTGCCACAGGCCAGCTCCAACCCTCCACCAGAGACTCACAGCTACCAGAGGAAAAGAATAACCCAATCATCTTCCCCCACACAACGCCCTTCTTTGTTGGGAGGTCTGAAACGCTCAGCTGGAACCATCCCCTCCCTGCAGGAGGGTCCCAGCCCCTCCCCTGTTGCTATCCTCTCTGCTGCTTACCCCTCCTGTGGGAACCCCCCACCCCAAAATACACTGACAGTACAGGCAAAAAGGGTGCCAAAGCATTCACAATGTCCCCAACAGCCGCTGCCGGCAATAGAAGTGCCTCTTTTTCACGGCATTTGTTTCCTCACCCCCAGTCTGCATCATTGCCTGCACAAGCCCTGAGCTGCCAGGAGGTCCAGGGTCACACCCAGAACAGCACAGCACCGGCTGCATCCATAAGCCAGCTCCATGGCACTTGTGGGGCTGGGGCAGATGAGGAAGCAGGAACATCCCCCAGGTGAGAATGAAAAGCGGTTAGAGATCCTCCACACACACCTCTACTGCCTCCCCTGCTCTTGCCCACATCCCTACCCAAACCCCACACGTTCAGGCATGTTTTTCATAGAAGACTTTCCCCTTTGCTCCAGCTTTAGTGGGAAAAGGCATAGGTGCCCCACAACTCCGGGGGCTGTTCTGACAGGGCAGCAGTGCCAGCAGGCATCATTCTTCCAGAGGACGGTGCTTTGGCAGGGAACATCCCGTTCCTCCTCTGGAGGAACAAAAGGACGTGGGTTTTAACCGCAGCACAAACATCTCCGTATATAGCCCTGTGCTATTCTCAACCCCATGCAGCTCCTGCCCAGGGAAGCCACTGAGTGAGAGGCACTGTCAGGGCTTGCCACACACCCCAGTGCTCCATGGCAAGCCTAGAGAGACTGGAAGAAAGCTTTCAGGGGCCAGAGCTACTTCTCTTGCCTATGCAAGACACCTCTCAGTGCTGGCCCTGCTTGTGCTGGGAGCAGCATAAACATTCTCCAAGTGACGCTGCATCCCAGGTGAGCATCCACACAGGCATTGCCTCTCCTGAAGGCTGGGTCTGACTTGGCAAAATCCCTCCCCAGGCACAGAGCAAGGGGCTCTTTTACTTCCTCATGCCCAGGGCAGCTCCCCAGGGCAGGACCTCAGCCCAAAGAACCTCTCGCCATTAGCACAGACCACATCAGGAGACAACCACTCCTTTGCCACACCAGGAGTTTCTCAGCAGCCCTGGGTAGGTTTGTAAGCTGTGAGCCCAACACTGGGGGCACACACACACACCCCTTCTTTAAGGAAAAAGGAATTTATCTCCCAGTCGATGAAGGAGTTAAATGGGGTGCTTAGCAACAGAGCCAAATGGTTGGGTCTGTCCTAGGCAGAGAAGGCTTTGGAAATGCTGTGATTCTCTCTCACTTAGAGATGGAAAGAGAGGGAACTGTTGCTGACTTCCCCACCAGCAAGTGGTTTTGGTTGGAACTTGTCCATTTCCACCGCTTTCTTGACAGCAAACCAAAAACCAAACTTTCTGCTGCCAAAGTGCTTTTTAATGTTGAAGCTGTAAATTCTCCTCAAAGCCTGTAACTCAGTCTGCTGCACGTTCCCTCTGTGTGGCTGTCCCCAAGGAGAGCTCTGCAGCCCCGTGCCCTGCAGCCCCCACTCCAGCAGGGTCACCCAGCCAGGCAGTGACACATTACTGGTGTAAGAGGGGAAAACATTCTGTAATGCACCACACCAGACCTCCTCAAAGAACAAAGCCCCTTTTTAGCTAACTTGCCTCAAGTTGAGTGCTTTCTGCCCCATACCCATTGTGGCAGCTGTGGGCAGAGCCCATGCCCCTTCCCCTTGCAGGGCAGCACAGACAGGCCCCCCAGAGGGAGGGACTTCCCACCTATAAAATCCACCCACTTCAGTAGGAACTTCCCTATGGACCACTGCAGGCTCTAGATCACAGAAGCATAGGATATCCCGAGTTGGAAGGGACCCTTAAGATCATTGAGTCCAACTCCTGGCACCACACAGGTCTACCCAAAATTTTAGACCATGTGACTAAGTGCACTGCCCAAATGCTTCTTAAATTCCAGGCTCTGGTTTTCCAGAGCTGTTGGATTTGATTACAGTCACCTCCCAAATACACCCACTGCTTTTATTAATTATTTTTACTGACAAGTATTTCATCCAGGCAGATTTGTGCACATTACTGCACGCCAACTTCAACCCAGGTAGGAAAGTAACAGCATATCACACCACGGAGAATCCAGCAGAGTATTTATACTGTGGACTTCAACATAAATCACATAAACCTTGTATTTCTCAGTAAACACTCCGCCAAAAAGAAAATGTCTGCTCCCAGCTCTGTCCCTCCCTATCCCAGCATGCAGCTTTGGATTCCTGTGACTCCTAGACAAGAGGAAGCCTTGCCAGCACAAAGACTGAGTGGAAACACAGCTCAAGCTGGCCATCACCACTCCACATCCCAGGGAGCAGCAAGAGCCAGGCACCAGCGTTCCTGGGGAGCCAGCAGCCCTACACCTGGAAGTGACTCCAGCACCCATCACATGCAATCTCCATTCTGGTCTAGCTCTGCATTGTCAGAAACCAAACAAACCCAAGTCCTGGGTAGATTTTGGATACCATGGCTGGCCCCAGCAGCAGTCCCACAAAAAACACATTGTCTGGTTGTCACCTTTGAGGTTCCCAAGCAGTGGTCCAGCCCCAGGAAAGAGGCTCTGAATTTTAAACAAGGGTGCTGGGGTTCACCTACTACAGGCAGCCTTTCAGATGCTGACATAACACTGCCTTCCACCAGTGCATGACTGTCTTCCTTCAAGCACAGCAAATATGACATGTTTTTTGAACAAAGCATTACATGCAGCTCCTGGGCTGGAGTTTAAAAATGCTAATGTCCTTTGGAGGTGTCATTGACTAACCAAGGGTAAACAATGAAGTCCTCCTGATTTGTTAACAATAAAGGTGCAAGCACTTTCAAACAGCAGTTGCATTGTGACAGCAACTTTCTATTACAGTGCAGAAAGGCAGCTGGTGGGCACGAGGCTGAATACCTCATGTACTTGAGAAAGTGCATTTGCACACATAGCGTGCAGAGAACCCAAGCTCCTGGAAAAGCCTGCTCCAGTCAGATCAGATCAGACTTTAAAAACTGGCTGCTTTTGGGGAGAGGGGAGGGCAGGGAGGAGGCTAATGGCTGCTTTATTGCATTAGACAGTATCTTCATTAAGGCAGAAAGGAGTAACCGAGGGGAATGTGCACGTAGCGTGACTTCTTTGCTAGAACCCCACAAACCGCCAACTGGCAGCTCCTTGGCTCCTGGCCACTCAAATCCAGGGGACCATCTGGCAACTGGTTCAGTTATCCCTCCCCACTTAACAGATGCGCACTAGATGGTGTGGGAACAGCATTTTGCAGAAGCAATTAGTTTAATCCTTAGCTAAACAGTTTAAATTCCAAGCTATTTTGGAAAAAAAAAAAAAAAAAAAAAAAAAAAAGCCACCCCAAACAAGCCAGCTTGCTTCTAATGTCATAAAGAATAACCAACTAGCAGCCAGTTCTGCTGGTGACACTGCTGACACGTGCCCATGAGGCTGGTGGCAGCTGCACCAGCTTTCTCTCCTCGTGCCAGACAGCAGAACGCTGCCAGATTTGCTCCAAGGCTGCAACCAGCATCACATCACCTCGTGGTGCCAGCATTCACCGTCCGGCTGCCGAAGCCCAGCTAGGTAGAGGCTGGTCTATGAAGTGTAGACCTGAACTCCAGCTCCCGGTCCAACCCTGGGAAAATCATTTAGCCTCTGTGCCTAGCCCGTGCTTCTCGCTGTCTCCAGAAATTGGGGTAGATTATGGGATCCTGCTCCAGGGAAGGTGGAATCAATTAGGGTCTGCGAAGCACTTGGAGAGTCTTCAATAGGATGAGTCATAGAAATGCTAAACATTAATGACAATTACACTAACAGATTAATTATTAGTGAATTAGAACAATTTCATTCTCTCAAGAGAGAGAGATTTGTTTTCTAGCCATTTCTTTTGCTTGTTTCCTTAAAAGAGTGACTTTCCGACCGGAGAAGACTGAATGAGGAGCTTAACCCAAATAAAATAAATTGCCAGTAATTTCTGGTATCCCCTATGCCATTATTGAACAATTTGCATTTGAATCAAGGCTTTTTCCATCACAATCCTGCTTCACCTGATCCTGCTCTATAATCACCATCCCCATTTATGAAATCCCAGCATGTTGCCGCAGAAATTATGTCACAAATTCATCATTATGACTTCCTCAGCAGGAGCAATTGGAGCTGAAGATTGGCTGTAAAAGTTGCCTTTTTACCAGTCTTGCTTTAAAGATATTTTAATATTTTTAAGGTAGAGAAGTGAGATTAGCTACCATGGGGAATTAGGCGAACATGTCATAAATATCCCAGGGATATGAGATTACACCCATGAGTTACAGGAACCATAAAATATGATCAAGAGACTTTATAGAGGATGATCTTTGAAATCAACTCCTAATCTCTAAGAGGTTTACATAAAACAGACTATTAGTTAAAAAAAAAAAGTAATTCAAAATTCAAAAGAGAATCAGACTGATAATAGCAAAGTTGTATCTATTTCCATAAAATATAAAAAAAAGCAGACCTATCAAGACACTCCAAACAGCAAGGCTTGCAGGTTTGTGCACTCCTTTGGTAACATGATAGTTAGTCAGATACCATGGCAAGAAACAGCCAGAGAATAAACTTCTAAAGTTTTTTGTTTGTTTTTTGTTTTTTTAAATAATTCATATTTACGTACTCTTCCCACTAGCTCCTCTCACTGCCACTTTTCGGAGACTGGTATGTGTCATATTTGCTAATAAGAACTACTGAAGAACTTTGGGGAAAACCTTAAAAAAAAAGAATATTTACATTATAAACAATGTACTTTACTTGTAACTGTACTGTTCCTGCCCAGCCTAGGAACCATACACAGCCTCAGCCCGCCCCACGTTTGGTGCTGCTCTCCCCATGCACTATGTTAGTACCCCACTGATCACCACTCCATTGCTGCCAGGCAGCCCCATGCACACAGGTGGGCACCACCATGACCACAGCATCCACCTTACTCCAGCTCCGCAGGGACAGTGTTCCTGCCCTAGCCTCTGTATCCTCACAGAGACAGGGCTAGGTGGAGTCCCCCAAATATCCCCTGGCAATTAGCAAAGAAGAGGGGCACAGACTTTTGTTTTTTAATCCTGCTTCAAACCACCATGCAGTCCATTTGGGTCCTTGTCCAATAGGCTCAACATCATCCTGATGCTTGGCAACACATCACATCTTGGCATATATTTACCATCTTCCACTGTTCCACCAGTGCTTTGTGGAGCAGGGCACGATACAGAAGTGGCGTAACACAGACAGGGTTTGGGGTGACCTGCATAGCAGAGGAGCAAAGCGTTGGGGCTGGAAAGAAAGAGCACGTGGAGGAATGAAGGGAAAGCAAGAGGAAGTTTTCTCCCAGCCACCCTAGGCTCTGCTCCACTCAGTCCTTTCCAGGGATTGCTCCAACACTTGCGCACCTTTCCCACGTTGTCCAGGCAGCTGCAGGGCCAGAGCTCACCAGCTCCTTCTGGGTGGCTGGAGAAGAGGCTGCTCCTGTGGCAGAGGAGATCAAAGCCACCACGTGCCAGTTCCTCTCCGCACAGACTGTTAACTCAAGCTGCCATCAATTCTCATTTGTGCTAACACAAACTATGGCAGCTGGAAAATTACCCCGTTGTAAATCACAAGCACTTGTTGTCAGCCATCAGTCCGCTGGTTCTACGTGCGGATTTCTCCTCTTCTCCCCACCAGCTTTCCAGCTTTTCTAAATTAAGAAGTGAGGAAACCAGACAAAAGGTATGTCCTGTATTTAGTAACTATATATATATAAAATGATATTATTAACCTGCAAGACTGCTTAACTAGTTCTTTGATACTTCCTACCATGCACGGTTTGACTGGTAAAGGAGACACCAGCCATTTTAGACTAGTTAAAACAAGCAAGTGGCGAAACACAAAACTTTGCCAAAAACGTGAAAAAACAGGGGGGGGTCCTCAGCTTAGGATATCAGCACAACACACCACCAGTAATCATCAGCATTCAGGTCCCCCAGCTATAAACAGGAGTTCTGTGAGCACTGTTTAGTCTGTTACACCACAATTGTACCCTTCCACTTCTGAGCAGCCACAAACAATAATTAATTAGCAGCAAACGCTCTAATGGCTATTTCATTCCTATTCTAGCAATTAGACTCTTTCAGCCAAGAGATCCGTGCCTGCACGTTCCCCACTTAGCTCCATGCAGCACAGCTCATTAAGGGAAAGAGAAGGAAGAAAACTCCAGAGTCATTCAGAGCCTGAAGAAGGGGGGAAAGAAAGGGGCCCATCCCTGTGGCTGGGTCCCAAGGAGCAGCTAATGAGATCCCCAGCAGGCAGCAAGCAGAAAAAGCTGGTGTCACCCACAACACCTCAGCACCCGTGGCAGGAACACACCTGCCCTGCCACCTCTGGGGGCCAGGCACCTGCTCTCGCTGCCACCATGAGGTAAGCCCCCATCTCCTGGTTCAATGCTCAAGTTTAAGTTTCACAGTTTAGGCACTTCGCCCCAAAGCCATTTGGTCTCAGTCAAGCTCAGGACAACCCTTTCCCTACCCTCAGGCCCTGCAGGGCCAGCGGCCCTTACTGTAGGCAGTGCTATTACAGCCTGGGGACACCCCACCACAGCTCAGCCACCCTCCCAGCCCAGAGGCACCCCCACCCTGCAGGGAGCCCCAGAAGCCAGCTCCCACCTCCCCATTTCTGACCAGGCAACCCTTACACCAAACACTGCCAAAAACACCTTCCTCTTTCCTAGGACCCCATTCAGAGAGGAAAAACTCAAAAAGTGCACCATTTAACTCACATTATCGCCTGCTGCTTGGGACCACAGGACCAGCAGAAGCCCCCCCAGCAAACCCATCCTGCCCCAGCTTCTCTCCCCGCTGCAGCTGGGAGCACTCCCTATGGCAGTCAGGGGGCCCTGAGAGCTTTGCTGCTTAACCACCCACAGCTGCACAAGGAGCACCAATTCGCTGCTTGGTTTTGGTGCTGGGGACTGCTCACACAACCCACGGAGACACGTGCTAAACCACCTGACCTGCTTTTCTTCTTCCTCTGCCTCAGTATCCCTAATTTCCATGGGACTTCTTCTGCCTTCAACACATGAAGGATGACAGGCAGTTGTTTTGGTGCAGTTTCAGTAACCGAGTTGCTTCTTTTTTTTTTTCTTCCCCTTTAACCAAGGCTTCACTGCCAATGCAACCTCTAGAGGAGGTGTTTGGCAAGGGCAGGTCAGAGAAAGCTGGAAACAAGCTGAGCCTGTGTGGAGTTTGAGAGCTCGCACCTGGCTGTGTGACCACATTTCCCCCAGCCTGGCCAGGAACTGCCCACTGCTGCCCCATCCACCCCACTCCGGAGGATACCTGACCACATGCAGCCATTTCACTCTGCTTGAACACCACAGGACCAACCCAGTCCTGAGGTTGCTTCTCTTCCTAATCCCAGACCAATGCCAGCAAGAAACCTGGGTGCCTTCACCTGCTGCTGCCAGGAGCATTGGAGAGCACCTACTTGAAGCACCCCACGTGTCCATGGCAAACTGAAGACCAGCCAAAAATGACCAACAGCTGAGTAGTTATAGCAGGCAGAATGGAGATCACCCTGAGAGTGCCTGTAGCAGTAGGAAATTTGTTGGAAAAAATACCCTGTGCTAAGGCAGAGGAGAAGCTCCACATTGGTCCCTGCCAATCTGATTATCTGGATTGTTTCTTCTTCTTCCAGTCTCTGGATCTGGCTTGTTTAACCCCAAACCTATGACTGACAGATAATGAGGCACCTGGGCAGAGAAAGGCACCAGCAACATCTGCTGAGCTGATCCAAATGCAGACCTGGCCTGCACAGTTTGGGGAAAACACCTTCTTTCTGCTGGCCACAGCACCTTCAAGGCAGCAGCTTTTTCCTGCAACCCCCCAAAATGCCCAGGTATTACTCACATCAAGACCTCAAAAAGCCCCTAAAGAAGAGGCAGGGCTGCTGCAACCACGATGGTCTCAGGACAACAATGAGCAAAGCTCCTCTGGAAGAGGGATTGTCTTTTACAAAGCTAACTAATACGGCCTGGACACTCAGGTTTCCTCACTGTGTCTCTTTTTGCCTTGAGCTGTATCCTTGGGGATGAGCATTCCTGAGGTGCTGGTGCTGCACCTTCAGCAGCACACCAGGAGAGGCACAGCTGCAGGGATTTCCTATGTTGCCCTTTGCTGAGAGAAGTTACAGCTCAGTTACATGTCCTTTCTCTACTAATGGTAGCTCAGGAGGTAGACACATACTCTCTAGATTTACAAATATAATCTTCATACTGTAGAATCCACTTTTTTTTTTTTTTTTTTTTTTTTTTTGCCAGGTCTCCCACGCCTTTTCACATTTTGCGAAGCCTGTCAAGAAGCAGCACAGGGAGGAAAACTGAACCAGAAAATATGGGAGGCACATGTGCACATCTGATTAACCCGACTTTTTATGATAAACAAAGCAGCTCAAGGGCCCTGTTCCCTCTGTCCCCACAATAAATCTCCTGGTTTTACTGTTTTATGATGTCAAACAACTAGGAGTTTTCCTCTGCTTGCAAATAGAACATAAATTACCTTGGGTAAACTCCATGGAGGCTAATGTTATCTATAAAATCCTGGCACTAATAACTTCATGGAAAGTCTAAGGGCTTCCCATTTTATATGAGTAATGCTAATTAGCACTGTAACCAGGAGGCATCTAGATTGGGAAGATAAAGTACCGCACTGTGAGCACCGTAACTGTAGCTACTTTGGATGCCAAAATCGACAGTGACTCTGACCTGAGGTTTTGGGTACAGGCTTGCAGCATCTCAATAGAACATGAAAGGCATCCATCCTCCTTTTATCCCATCAAAGTCAAAGACATCTCACCTGGGTGTAAAGTAAATGTACTAAGGAGGATACTCCACGTCTCTGGGCAAGTTGCATGGCTGGTTGTTCTCCCACTGGAAAGCTTAGGCTGTTGTTAAATGCCTTTCCTACCTGCTCTCTGCCACAGGAAGTTTGTTCCCCACAAGTGAATCGTACAGCGTCAAATCACCATTTTGCTCTTAACAAAGAGGCTAAAACGAACAGGTTGATCTCTTCTTGTAACACTTTCCCCTTCTGGCTTTGTTGCACCCCCCTGGCAAAAGGGACAGGGAGTGATGCTGCCTCTCCCCTGCACCCCTGTACGTGTGCCTGCACCCAGTTTTTAGTCTGGCTGGGATAAAGACCTCCAGTCCCTCTTCACTGTTCATAGCTCCCCCAGAGCAGCACAGTTTTTTAGTCTTCAAAGAGGTTTAAATAGGTAACACATGGATCCCATATGCATATTGGCACCTGACTTACCCTTGCTGTACATCAGCACAGCCTTGTTCTGACATTTTCATTCTGAACTGGGAGTGAAGATGAAGTTGTGTCTGTGTAACGCTATTCAAGCAAGTAGAATGAAATGTAAAACATCAGCACGGAAATTCCTTCCTTCTTTGAGGCTCTTTTGTAACATGTCAAGTTTTACTTAAAATATGACAAACATGATGTTCTACAAACTTTGCCGGATTTGGGTGTTTCTTACAAGAGAGTCTCACAAGGGAGATGCTTTACTTCATTTTCTGAGTCCATTACTGGGAGGGATGCAAAAATGGGATGTAGATACCTATACTTCTACTTTAGAAAAGGTAATTTTTTTTTTTTTTTTAATAGAGTGCAAGAAGGCTCAAGTACCAGCAACAGGGTAGGGAATGCTTTACTAAGTCCATTGTTCTATATAGAGGAAAGCCTATTCTGTGCCCAATAAAATTAAAACCAAGAAATTTGTCTACTGCTTTCTGGCTAGGTAAGCACACAACCTTTAAATTGATACACGCTCCTAACCTGCGTTTAACTTGCAGCCCTGTGGCTTTCTCTAGAGGAGGTGTAAAGCCAAAAGACAGCTTTCAACTTTTCCTCAGTCAAAACAGATGCCAGAAAATTCTTTCCAAGGGTTATGTCCAGATTCTTTCCAAACTGTACATATCTCAAATCTGGGGCCAGCAAAAATATTCAGATGTGGAGGACTTCAAGAGACAAGAAGGGTAATTGTCTCTTCGGCAAGGGGAGCACAGTAGTGACAGCAAATCTCATTGCTGCCTGCTGATGGGAAAACGACAATGGACAAACTGTCTTGAAACATGCATCAGTGACTGTTGTTTTCAGTTGCCACCTCCCCTCTGGATTTTAATAGCCACGGTTCAGACACTAGTCAAGATACAGCCTGGCTCAGCTCACCCTTGTAGCATACTTAAAAGAAACGAAAAAAAAAGGAAAAAAAAAGAAAGAAAGACACCTTAAAAATTCACTTTAAATATACATAAGCATACAGCCCATGACAGGCCATAACAGCAGAAAAATTGTCTTTGCCACAAAAAAAAAAAAAGTTTTTTAATGGCTGCATGAGAATGACTGGCTTTACTTTTACAGCCATGGCTCTAGCCTACTTGCAAGCTTCAGAAACTTACTTAAGTCAGCTTTACTTTTTAACTCCCTAGTATTCACAGTAAAGCAGAGAAAGCATTGTGAATATAATTTTACAACTCATTTTATTTTGTCTCTTGTGAAACACATATTTATTAATCTGGCAAAATTTCCTGCCAGCATTTCATGCCAATTGTAGCTCCAAATTCTCTCATGAATTCATTTGTCTTTGAACATGTAAAATTGAAAAGGAGCTTCAGCCAGCAATTTTTTTTTTCTTTTTTAATGTATCCAATAAAATAAAAAATATTAAATATATGATTTAATAGAAAGGACCTTTTTAAACAGAGCAACATCAATTTCAATATGAGCATTAATGTCTTTAATATAGGGAATGGTGTTTTTGGACTTGCAGATAACTGCAAGACGATCTCTCTCATGGCAGCTCTCTGGGCAAAACAGAAGTGGAAGCAGAGATTTTGGTGGTAAAACAGTCGGGAGGCCAAGTTGTGATCAAAAGCATACCTGAACCTCACTTGAAACAATCTTTACAGTTGCCAGTTCCTCCTGGTACACTAACTTTAAAATGCTTGGATCTTTTTTTAATCAATTTGTCTGAAGCTGGTATTCCACAGAATGAAATATATTGTATTGTCATAGCTTTATGAGAAGAACTCCTAAAAGTACATGCAATAACATGTATTCTTGTTGTATGTGCTTTGTAAGCTTTCATTTGAAATTGCTCCCTGTCTTGCCTTGAAAAAAGAAAAAAAGTACCTGTATATGGCTTATGTGCTCTGTGGGACCTACCAGCAGTCTTCCCAAATTTGTAATAATTTGAAAGCAGCAGAAAAGCATCAGCTTGAAACAGAGTTATTAGTATAACCCCGAGCACAACAGTACGACACAGCCACTCCTCAGTTAATGCTCTAGTTGCTTGAGCAGTGAGGTTTCCACTGTGGCTGCACACTCCACCCAAGCTTCCTCTCACCTGAACTATATATTCATATCCTGTTCCCCAAGCATCAGGATTTTTAAAGCTTTTTTTTTTTTTTTTCTTTTTTAAATGTCACAGGCACTGTTCTGCAGATGTAGCCAGGTACATCCGCTTAGCCAGGTGATCTGTCCCACACATAAGTAACCTGGAAGGAACTACAAGAGGTGAAACTTGAAATCCTCAAACCAAAGTTACAGCTTTGAAAGGATATTAAACACTAACTACAATTACCTGGTATTTATATGACTATGAAAAGATATGGAGTCATTTTGGGTCTTGTTAAATTGCTGGCTAAGACCTTGAAAAGCAGCTTCCAGCAATGAATGTTTCCATATGCCAGTTAATAAGCTTTGAGTATTTCACCCATTAATCTGAGTGAACATCCCCTTATTCATCTCCAGCAGGGCCAGTAACACAGCCATTTGAATTATGTCTGCAGTGACTTTCTGCTCAGCCTCAAGTGCAATTCAAGATGTTGGAGAGTCTCTTTAAAGCCTTGACATTCCTGAGAGAAGAATGCCTGCAATCTTGTAACTGAAGAAGCTATTAAAATATCCATATCATGTAATCCAGCATTTAAGCACAGCTCTGCAGAGTGGGAAGAAAAGGTTTCACCTTTAAGAATCATCAGTTCTCAAGCCCACTAGATTCATGGCTAAACCTTCTGACAAGTTGCATCTCATTGCTGTTCGTCCTAGGAAAACGCTGCATGTTTCAGGCTGCTAAAAGAAGGGAAAGGGAATTTGCTCTAGTATAGAAAGCAAAGATTTGATAAGCAAAAATGTTGTGGAGAGAAAGAAAGTGCACAGCTGAAGCACAGCAATTTCATAAGCCTCTGGCCATCCTAGAGACATAGACTCAAGTAGCATAGCAGTCCTGCTTGCAGAGACAATTTCCAGCCATACAAGAAAAATAGTGCATGGATGTCATAGCCAAGCTACTTATAAGCAATATAAATTGGACGGCTATCAATGGGTTAAGCTAATGTGATCTGTGTTCAAATAGTGAAGGCCTAATTAACAAAAAAGGCAACAAGTCAGGTGGAGTTGTGCAGTTTTATTTGAACAAAAACCAGTGTCGATATTTTTAATAAATGCTACGTTACACTAAGAGCATGTACAGTTGTAAGAAGATATCTAGTTGTACAGAAGGTATAGGATAATATGTACAATCATAGTTAAGTTAAAAATTCACATTTTACATAGATTTACTTGACAGTCCTGTGCTTTGATGGTATATAATTGGAAACCAAAAAAAAATTACAAAAAAAAATACAAGAAAATTCAGCTGGAGGACTGGTATAACGCATTCATCTCTCAAATAAACTAGTTCACAGGGTTTTTATTTCTTCTAAATCAAATTTTGGATACAAGTTTTAGAATGATTAGAATTAACATGTTCAATGAACATACTGATGTAAACTTTTTTTTTCCAATGGTGCCATTTCCTTCCATTAAAAAAAATGTATTTTAAGCTTTAGTCTGCTGCTCAGCTTTTACAAATTAGAATTACACAGTGTGTTTTTCAATACATGGTAAAAAAAATATCAAACAGCGAGGGAGATATGTTCAAAAGACACTTTGAAGCTTTTCAGTCCACTTTCACAACACTGTAAATCTTACTTACAAACCAGAAGCAGGCAAAAAATCCAATAGTTCCTAAAATGAGAAAGTGAAAATGGTTAGTTTAATCCTCCAGTCTGTGTTGAGAAAAATTTAACAAGCATATCCCAGCAGGACAGAATATAACATTGTAATACAGCTAACTATCCAAAATAACAACACTTGTTAAATTTAACAACACACGCACTCATCCCCAGGCTAAGTTATTTATTTAGATCAAAGATGACTTTTAGGACCAGACTACTGGATGGACATTCAATGCACTGAAGGTGGTGCTACTATCACCACTACCGGGCACACAAGTGCCATTTAAGAAAATGATTTTTATACACAAACAAAGTGAACATTTACCTAAATCATTCAAAATTTTTTATTTTATTTTATTTTTAAGGACTACAATATCTTATGGTCATCTATGACTTATGCTAGAAAACATGACCTTCAGAAAAGTCACCTGGCCTGGTTTTCTGTTCATTATGCTCTACTGACACTCAAGAGCAATGATCTAACCCTGTATATCCCGTTACTTCCTTTTGCTAAAACAACGCTCTGAGCACTGCAGCAGTTGGGAGCAAGAATCAAACAGACTATCAGTAGCAAGCTCAAACCAAAACGAACAGTTTTTATGTAAAGTATATTCAAGCTATGGATTTGCTTGCCACAAGTCACTATGGATAATAAAAACATAGATGTCTCAGTCAACTGAACAAATTAATGAACAAAGAAATCCAAAGGCTATTAATTACAGAGACACCATTTCAAGTGCTAAAAATGCCTTTGAGCCACAAGTGATGGAAGGCTGAGAGAAAGTGTCACTAACATGCTTGCTCTGTTCTCACACCC